TCCCCAATTACAATATCCTCGATTAACTCTGCATTATTAGTGACAATTAGATCTAAGATGGCATTTTTTCTGGTAGGAGTCTCCACCATCTGGTCCATGAAATTGTCGGGCAACATGTTTAGAAATCGCCCCGCCTTTGCTGAACCCGAAGTTCCATTGGCCCAATTGATGTCTGGGTAATTGAAGTCACCCATCACGACTACATTGCCCTCTCTCCCAGCTATTCCTATCTGTGAGTGAAGATTGACTTCTCCCTCTTCCCCTATATTTGGAGGTTTATAGCAAATACCCACGAGAAGTTTACGGCTAGCGTCCATCATATCTAGCTCCAGCCATAGGGTTTCCACGTCTTCCCCATTATTTGACGCAATATCGTCCCTTATATGCACATTTAGATTATTTTTTACGTAAATGCAATCCAGGTGCAAACAGACAGCCCATGACATCATAATGACGTAATTCCCGCCAAAATTCAAAAAGATAGACACACCCACATCAACACAGAAGAATTCATGTCATGGGCTGTCTGTTTGCACCTGGATTGATGTTTATTCATCCCTGCATGTTCACCTATGCATTGCGTCACTTTCGCTCTGATGAAGGATCCCTGTGCTGACCCGAAACGTTAGCACCATATGACAGTATGTGACATTGGGTATTGAATAAACATATCAATACTTTAAGAACCCTTCAAGTGTGTGCCGGTGAATTACTTTTATAGACAAAATCTAATAACTTCTGAAAATTGCTACTGAACATGGCAACATAGAGACAGATGCATAAACCTGTATTGTTTTTATGATTCTGTGAATCGTATTTATTTGGGCTATACAAATTGTCCTTAGAGACGTTCTTTCCTTTACACATTTACATCATCAAAAAGATTAAAAATAAAAAATAAAACTGCCAATGTTCCACACAATACAGCTTTGATATTTATGTTTTTAAAGTTAAGTTTAAATCCTTCAGGAATCTTTTATAAACTCAACAGCCAGCAAATTCATGTTGATTATTATCTATTCCAGAAAGCTTGAGGAAAACCTTCTATTAATTACGGCTTATGCATTTAATGTGGAGGTATGCCCGGAGGTGGAGAAGGAAGGGATTTGTAATAAATGAGTAGATAAGAAATCTCTATTAACGCCACTGGTGAGCAGTGACAGATATATTGCAGGAGTGATGTTATAATGCAGAGTTCCTTCAGGCTGTGTTCTTAGCTTGTTCTGCGTGTGCCTAAGATTCAGTACTACGAGGCCCTTGGGATATTAATGAATTGGCCTATTACGCTATACTGAAAGCATTTAAATGCTATTGAGTCAAAGCGCAGTCCCTTGTATTAACATTTGGCTTTACAAAATGCACAGTTTTGCCAAATAGTTTGGTTGGATACAGTGTTCTGGCATCACAAAAGGGGCATATTAAATAACAATTCTGCTAGGTTCTGTGTGACGGTGGTGCTGGAACAACAATTCTTTTGTAAGTGCTATTGTGCTACTCCAACAACAAGAAAACAATGTAAGTCATGCATGTCTGCAACACCAGATAGAATCATGGCACAAGAGTGCAACACATAATAGCCATTTCTTACAAAAGAGTACATCACATACATATTGTGAAAACAGACTAGACCAAAACACATTGTAAACACATAAATAATGCATGACCTAAATTTACAAAAGCTAGTTATGGATCAGAGAATTTTGTTCCAACAACAGGTAAATGGACAGACCACATCAAATAGCAACAGGAAAGGTGAAAACACAACAGCGATTAAAATAGGACAGAGCAGGATTGAATAACGATCAGGAGATGTAAGACAGATAATAAGGGAAAAGCAACAAGAAGGGTGTGTAGGAAGTATAGCACAGTGGTAGGGGCAATGCAAAACATGCAACTAGTCCATAAGCAATTCTGGCCTGCAACCAGATCCTCACAAATATACAATTCTGTCATTCTTGCATTTTAGGGCACTGCCCTTGGCATCCTCACTTACAATGCAGGACTTCTGGTATTGCATGTGATGGTGGCAGAATGGCTTACACCTACAAAGCGGCAAAAAGCAAGGGAGGATTGGTCATGAAGCTAGCAGGAAGCCAGTGGGAGCAAGGAATAAGGTATATATAAATGTTTTTAATGTTCCAGGGCAAGTGTCAGGATGGAGAGCAACAGGAGGAGAGCGAACATCCATAAGCAGATCTCCCCTGTGATAAAGGAAACTGGATATTGTTCTGAGCGTTTCCTGGTTCAGGGCTGTCAAATCCTGGCTGGTGTGGCCAAGAACACAGCTGATCAAATACAATATGTGTTAGATCAGCTTCAGCAGAGCGCAGGGGTGACATTAGACCACTAATATCTCCTTAAAAGAGATCTGTTGCCTGCACTATGCTATCACATAGTGGTCTTGTCAACCCCCTTGTTATAATAATAAAATTAAAGGAGAACTATGAGATGAGTGATTTCCACTCTTCCTCATAGTTAGAGCCGAGCAGTAACAAACTAGCTGTCACAGGCTAGCTCTATCGATCGGGAAGTGAGCAGAAACATAGACCGATCTGCTCACTTCCCGATTTCTCCCCGCAGGGATTCCCCCCCCTCCGATCCTCCAGCACTGAGTGGAGGAATGAACGAGGAAGGAGGCTGACACAGCTGGCTCTGCCTCTAGATAGGCAGAAGTAGCTGTCACTCACACACCTGGGTGGATCTTGACAGTATTATACTGCGGCGCTCTCATTATATCAGGGGTAATAGCTTGTGATATACTGAGCATTGGGTCATGGGAGGAGTTTAGTATATGTCCTCCCGTGACCCTAAATAGAACTATGGGGGAA